TACATTTAAAAGCAATAGTGAAAGAATAATGGTAGTTATGCTTGGTCTCTACCAACTTTTTCCAAAGCCCATCAAATCTTAAGATAAATGGTAGTTAATTGAATTCTTTAAGTTAGTATAAAGATCCCGAGAACCTCCTTCCAAAAAACCTTACAACTCTTTACTAGTCTCGTAAATTTACTCATATTTACTCAAAAATCTAGATGGCAAAGCATCTCGAGATTCACATATCCAATTTTATATATAAGTTTGTTAAGTTTATTGTCTAAGTTATTTTAAGTGCGTAAGTTTGATTGCTTTGCAGTGCGTTTAAAATCATTTAACATTATGTTTGGCTTTATATAGGTCGCAGACGCGTACGGTGAAGCTCCGAGCATTGTTAAACTGGATTTAGGAGTGGGCATTATAAAGCTAAGGTGAGCGTTGGACTTTTCATGTTTTATTTTCACAGCATAAGTTTGATTATTTGCAGTGTGTTTTAAACTCATCTCGGATTGGCTTAGTTTGGTTTTTATTTTTAAACACCGATCATATTTTGTTTCTTGCAAATAATGAGTTTATTTTCCAGTTAAGCTCTATTATGTCTACGTTTTCGAAATTTTACATTTAAAAGCAATGAAGAAAGAATATTAGTATAAAACTAATTTCCTAACTCGTTGTTTTGGGTGGGCAGTTGTATATTTTTTGCAAAGGGCATCAAACCTTAAGATAAATGGTATTTGGTTGAATTTATTGGGTTAAGAGCCTAGAGATTTCTTCTTAATTACTGAAACAACTATTTACTAGTCTCTGAAATTCACTCATATTCATTTGACCAAGGTTTGGTTTTTATTTTTTCAAACACGGATCATACTTCGTTTTTTGCAAATCATGAGGTTATTTTCCAGTTAAGCTTTATTATGTTTACCATTTTAAAATTTTACATTTTAAAGCAGTGAAGAAAAATAGTAGTTTAAAACTAATTTCTCAACTCGTAGTTTTGGGTGAGCAGTTGTATATTTTTTGCAAAGGCCATCAAACCTTAAGATAAATGGTATTTGATTAAATTTATTGAGTTATGACCCGAGAGCTTTCTTCTGAATAACTTATACAACTATTTACTAGTCTCGTAAATTTACTCATATTTACTCAAAAATCTAGATGGCAAAGCATCTGGAGAATCACATATCCAATTTTATATAAAAGTTTGTTAAGTTTATTGTCTAAGTTATTTTAAGTGCGTAAGTTTGATTGCTTTGCAGTGCGTTTAAAATTATTTAACATTATGTTTGGCTTTATATAGGTCGCAGACGCGTACGGTGAAGCTCCGAGCATTGTGAAACTGGATTTAGGAGTGGGCATTATAAAGCTACGGTGAGTGTTGAACTTTTCATGTTTTATTTTCACAGCATAAGTTTGATTATTTGCAGTGTGTTTTAAACTCATCTCGGATTGGCTTAGTTTGGTTTTTATTTTTAAACACCGATCATATTTTGTTTCTTGCAAATAATGAGTTTATTTTCCAGTTAAGCTCTATTATGTCTATGTTTTTGAAATTTTACATTTAAAAGCAATGAAGAAAGAATATTAATATAAAACTAATTTCTTAACTCGTTGTTTTGGGTGGGCAGTTGTATATTTTTTGCAAAGGCCATCAAACCTTAAGATAAATGGTATTTGGTTGAATTAATTGGGTTAAGAGCCTAGAGATTTCTTCTTAATTACTGAAACAACTATTTACTAGTCTCTGAAATTCACTCATATTTATTTGACCAAGGTTTGGTTTTTATTTTTTCAAACACGGATCATACTTCGTTTCTTGGGTTTGGTTACAAATCATGAGTTTATTCTAGTTGGGCTTGAAGTCTTCCTTTTTTTAAATTTTACATTTAAAAGCAATAGTGAAAGAATAATGGTAGTTATGCTTGGTCTCTACCAACTTTTTCCAAAGCCCATCAAATCTTAAGATAAATGGTAGTTGATTGAATTCTTTAAGTTAGTATAAAGATCCCGAGAACCTCCTTCCAAAAAACCTTACAACTCTTTACTAGTCTCGTAAATTTACTCATATTTACTCAAAAATCTAGATGGCAAAGCATCTGGAGAATCACATATCCAATTTTATATAAAAGTTTGTTAAGTTTATTGTCTAAGTTATTTTAAGTGCGTAAGTTTGATTGCTTTGCAGTGCGTTTAAAATTATTTAACATTATGTTTGGCTTTATATAGGTCGCAGACGCGTACGGTGAAGCTCCGAGCATTGTGAAACTGGATTTAGGAGTGGGCATTATAAAGCTACGGTGAGTGTTGAACTTTTCATGTTTTATTTTCACAGCATAAGTTTGATTATTTGTAGTGTGTTTTAAACTCATCTCGGATTGGCTTAGTTTGGTTTTTATTTTTAAACACCGATCATATTTTGTTTCTTGCAAATAATGAGTTTATTTTCCAGTTAAGCTCTATTATGTCTATGTTTTTGAAATTTTACATTTAAAAGCAATGAAGAAAGAATATTAATATAAAACTAATTTCTTAACTCGTTGTTTTGGGTGGGCAGTTGTATATTTTTTGCAAAGGCCATCAAACCTTAAGATAAATGGTATTTGGTTGAATTAATTGGGTTAAGAGCCTAGAGATTTCTTCTTAATTACTGAAACAACTATTTACTAGTCTCTGAAATTCACTCATATTTATTTGACCAAGGTTTGGTTTTTATTTTTTCAAACACGGATCATACTTTGTTTCTTGGGTTTGGTTACAAATCATGAGTTTATTCTAGTTGGGCTTGAAGTCTTCCTTTTTTTAAATTTTACATTTAAAAGCAATAGTGAAAGAATAATGGTAGTTATGCTTGGTCTCTACAACCTTTTTCCAAAGCCCATCAAATCTTAAGATAAATGGTAGTTAATTGAATTCTTTAAGTTAGTATAAAGATCCCGAGAACCTCCTTCCAAAAAACCTTACAACTCTTTACTAGTCTCGTAAATTTACTCATATTTACTCAAAAATCTAGATGGCAAAGCATCTGGAGATTCACATATCCAATTTTATATAAAAGTTTGTTAAGTTTATTGTCTAAGTTATTTTAAGTGCGTAAGTTTGATTGCTTTGCAGTGCGTTTAAAATCATTTAACATTATGTTTGGCTTTATATAGGTCGCAGACGCGTACGGTGAAGCTCCGAGCATTGTTAAACTGAATTTAGGAGTGGGCATTATAAAGCTAAGGTGAGTGTTGGACTTTTCAGATTTTATTTTCACAGCATAAGTTTGATTATTTGCAATGTGTTTTAAACTCATCTCGGATTGGCTTAGTTTGGTTTTTATTTTTAAACACCGATCATATTTTGTTTCTTGCAAATAATGAGTTTATTTTCCAGTTAAGGTCTATTATGTCTATGTTTTCGAAATTTTACATTTAAAAGCAATAAAGAAAGAATATTAGTATAAAACTAATTTCCTAACTCGTTGTTTTGGGTGGGCAGTTGTATATTTTTTGCAAAATGCATCAAACCTTAAGATAAATGGTATTTGGTTGAATTTATTGGGTTAAGAGCCTAGAGATTTCTTCTTAATTACTGAAACAACTATTTACTAGTCTCTGAAATTCACTCATATTCATTTGACCAAGGTTTGATTTTTATTTTTTCAAACACGGATCATACTTCGTTTCTTGCAAATCATGAGGTTATTTTCCAGTTAAGCTTTATTATGTTTACCATTTTAAAATTTTACATTTAAAAGCAGTGAAGAAAAATAGTAGTTTAAAACTAATTTCTCAACTCGTAGTTTTGGGTGGGCAGTTGTATATTTTTTGCAAAGGCCATCAAACCTTAAGATAAATGGTATTTGATTAAATTTATTGAGTTATGACCCGAGAGCTTTCTTCTGAATAACTTAAACAACTATTTACTAGTCTCGTAAATTTACTCATATTTACTCAAAAATCTAGATGGCAAAGCATCTGGAGAATCACATATCCAATTTTATATAAAAGTTTGTTAAGTTTATTGTCTAAGTTATTTTAAGTGCGTAAGTTTGATTGCTTTGCAGTGCGTTTAAAATTATTTAACATTATGTTTGGCTTTATATAGGTCGCAGACGCGTACGGTGAAGCTCCGCCGAGCATTGTGAAACTGGATTTAGGAGTGGGCATTATAAAGCTACGGTGAGTGTTGAACTTTTCATGTTTTATTTTCACAGCATAAGTTTGATTATTTGCAGTGTGTTTTAAACTCATCTCGGATTGGCTTAGTTTGGTTTTTATTTTTAAACACCGATCATATTTTGTTTCTTGCAAATAATGAGTTTATTTTCCAGTTAAGCTCTATTATGTCTATGTTTTTGAAATTTTACATTTAAAAGCAAAGAAGAAAGAATATTAATATAAAACTAATTTCTTAACTCGTTGTTTTATGTGGGCAGTTGTATATTTTTTGCAAAGGCCATCAAACCTTAAGATAAATGGTATTTGGTTGAATTAATTGGGTTAAGAGCCTAGAGATGTTTTCTTAATTACTGAAACAACTATTTACTAGTCTCTGAAATTCACTCATATTTATTTGACAAAGATTTGGTTTTTATTTTTTCAAACACGGATCATACTTCGTTTCTTGGGTTTGATTACAAATCATGAGTTTATTCTAGTTGGGCTAGAAGTCTTCCTTTTTTTGAATTTTACATTTAAAAGCAATAGTGAAAGAATAATGGTAGTTATGCTTGGTCTCTACCAACTTTTTCCAAAGCCCATCAAATCTTAAGATAAATGGTAGTTAATTGAATTCTTTAAGTTAGTATAAAGATCCCGAGAACCTCCTTCCAAAAAACCTTACAACTCTTTACTAGTCTCGTAAATTTACTCATATTTACTCAAAAATCTAGATGGCAAAGCATCTCGAGATTCACATATCCAATTTTATATATAAGTTTGTTAAGTTTATTGTCTAAGTTATTTTAAGTGCGTAAGTTTGATTGCTTTGCAGTGCGTTTAAAATCATTTAACATTATGTTTGGCTTTATATAGGTCGCAGACGCGTACGGTGAAGCTCCGAGCATTGTTAAACTGGATTTAGGAGTGGGCATTATAAAGCTAAGGTGAGCGTTGGACTTTTCATGTTTTATTTTCACAGCATAAGTTTGATTATTTGCAGTGTGTTTTAAACTCATCTCGGATTGGCTTAGTTTGGTTTTTATTTTTAAACACCGATCATATTTTGTTTCTTGCAAATAATGAGTTTATTTTCCAGTTAAGCTCTATTATGTCTACGTTTTCGAAATTTTACATTTAAAAGCAATGAAGAAAGAATATTAGTTTAAAACTAATTTCCTAACTCGTTGTTTTGGGTGGGCAGTTGTATATTTTTTGCAAAGGGCATCAAACCTTAAGATAAATGGTATTTGGTTGAATTTATTGGGTTAAGAGCCTAGAGATTTCTTCTTAATTACTGAAACAACTATTTACTAGTCTCTGAAATTCACTCATATTTATTTGACCAAGGTTTGGTTTTTATTTTTTCAAACACGGATCATACTTCGTTTTTTGCAAATCATGAGGTTATTTTCCAGTTAAGTTTTATTATGTTTACCATTTTAAAATTTTACATTTAAAAGCAGTGAAGAAAAATAGTAGTTTAAAACTAATTTCTCAACTCGTAGTTTTGGGTGGGCAGTTGTATATTTTTTGCAAAGGCCATCAAACCTTAAGATAAATGGTATTTGATTAAATTTATTGAGTTATGACCCGAGAGCTTTCTTCTGAATAACTTAAACAACTGTTTACTAGTCTCGTAAATTTACTCATATTTACTCAAAAATCTAGATGGCAAAGCATCTGGAGAATCACATATCCAATTTTATATAAAAGTTTGTTAAGTTTATTGTCTAAGTTATTTTAAGTGCGTAAGTTTGATTGCTTTGCAGTGCGTTTAAAATTATTTAACATTATGTTTGGCTTTATATAGGTCGCAGACGCGTACGGTGAAGCTCCGAGCATTGTGAAACTGGATTTAGGAATGGGCATTATAAAGCTACGGTGAGTGTTGAACTTTTCATGTTTTATTTTCACAGCATAAGTTTGATTATTTGCAGTGTGTTTTAAACTCATCTCGGATTGGCTTAGTTTGGTTTTTATTTTTAAACACCGATCATATTTTGTTTCTTGCAAATAATGAGTTTATTTTCCAGTTAAGCCCTATTATGTCTATGTTTTTGAAATTTTACATTTAAAAGCAATGAAGAAAGAATATTAATATAAAACTAATTTCTTAACTCGTTGTTTTGGGTGGGCAGTTGTATATTTTTTGCAAAGGCCATCAAACCTTAAGATAAATGGTATTTGGTTGAATTAATTGGGTTAAGAGCCTAGAGATTTCTTCTTAATTACTGAAACAACTATTTACTAGTCTCTGAAATTCACTCATATTTATTTGACCAAGGTTTGGTTTTTATTTTTTCAAACACGGATCATACTTCGTTTCTTGGGTTTGGTTACAAATCATGAGTTTATTCTAGTTGGGCTTGAAGTCTTCCTTTTTTTAAATTTTACATTTAAAAGCAATAGTGAAAGAATAATGGTAGTTATGCTTGGTCTCTACGAACTTTTTCCAAAGCCCATCAAATCTTAAGATAAATGGTAGTTGATTGAATTCTTTAAGTTAGTATAAAGATCCCGAGAACCTCCTTCCAAAAAACCTTACAACTCTTTACTAGTCTCGTAAATTTACTCATATTTACTCAAAAATCTAGATGGCAAAGCATCTGGAGAATCACATATCCAATTTTATATAAAAGTTTGTTAAGTTTATTGTCTAAGTTATTTTAAGTGCGTAAGTTTGATTGCTTTGCAGTGCGTTTAAAATTATTTAACATTATGTTTGGCTTTATATAGGTCACAGACGCGTACGGTGAAGCTCCGAGCATTGTGAAACTGGATTTAGGAGTGGGCATTATAAAGCTACGGTGAGTGTTGAACTTTTCATGTTTTATTTTCACAGCATAAGTTTGATTATTTGCAGTGTGTTTTAAACTCATCTCGGATTGGCTTAGTTTGGTTTTTATTTTTAAACACCGATCATATTTTGTTTCTTGCAAATAATGAGTTTATTTTCCAGTTAAGCTCTATTATGTCTATGTTTTTGAAATTTTACATTTAAAAGCAATGACGAAAGAATATTAATATAAAACTAATTTCTTAACTCGTTGTTTTGGGTGGGCAGTTGTATATTTTTTGCAAAGGCCATCAAACCTTAAGATAAATGGTATTTGGTTGAATTAATTGGGTTAAGAGCCTAGAGATTTCTTCTTAATTACTGAAACAACTATTTACTAGTCTCTGAAATTCACTCATATTTATTTGACCAAGGTTTGGTTTTTATTTTTTCAAACACGGATCATACTTCGTTTCTTGGGTTTGGTTACAAATCATGAGTTTATTCTAGTTGGGCTTGAAGTCTTCCTTTTTTTAAATTTTACATTTAAAAGCAATAGTGAAAGAATAATGGTAGTTATGCTTGGTCTCTACCAACTTTTTCCAAAGCCCATCAAATCTTAAGATAAATGGTAGTTAATTGAATTCTTTAAGTTAGTATAAAGATCCCGAGAACCTCCTTCCAAAAAACCTTACAACTCTTTACTAGTCTCGTAAATTTACTCATATTTACTCAAAAATCTAGATGGCAAAGCATCTGGAGATTCACATATCCAATTTTATATAAAAGTTTGTTAAGTTTATTGTCTAAGTTATTTTAAGTGCGTAAGTTTGATTGCTTTGCAGTGCGTTTAAAATCATTTAACATTATGTTTGGCTTTATATAGGTCGCAGACGCGTACGGTGAAGCTCCGAGCATTGTTAAACTGAATTTAGGAGTGGGCATTATAAAGCTAAGGTGAGTGTTGGACTTTTCAGATTTTATTTTCACAGCATAAGTTTGATTATTTGCAGTGTGTTTTAAACTCATCTCGGATTGGCTTAGTTTGGTTTTTATTTTTAAACACCGATCATATTTTGTTTCTTGCAAATAATGAGTTTATTTTCCAGTTAAGGTCTATTATGTCTATGTTTTCGAAATTTTACATTTAAAAGCAATAAAGAAAGAATATTAGTATAAAACTAATTTCCTAACTCGTTGTTTTGGGTGGGTAGTTGTATATTTTTTGCAAATTGCATCAAACCTTAAGATAAATGGTATTTGGTTGAATTTATTGGGTTAAGAGCCTAGAGATTTCTTCTTAATTACTGAAACAACTATTTACTAGTCTCTGAAATTCACTCATATTCATTTGACCAAGGTTTGGTTTTTATTTTTTCAAACACGGATCATACTTCGTTTTTTGCAAATCATGAGGTTATTTTCCAGTTAAGCTTTATTATGTTTACCATTTTAAAATTTTACATTTTAAAGCAGTGAAGAAAAATAGTAGTTTAAAACTAATTTCTCAACTCGTAGTTTTGGGTGGGCAGTTGTATATTTTTTGCAAAGGCCATCAAACCTTAAGATAAATGGTATTTGATTAAATTTATTGAGTTATGACCCGAGAGCTTTCTTCTGAATAACTTATACAACTATTTACTAGTCTCGTAAATTTACTCATATTTACTCAAAAATCTAGATGGCAAAGCATCTGGAGAATCACATATCCAATTTTATATAAAAGTTTGTTAAGTTTATTGTCTAAGTTATTTTAAGTGCGTAAGTTTGATTGCTTTGCAGTGCGTTTAAAATTATTTAACATTATGTTTGGCTTTATATAGGTCGCAGACGCGTACGGTGAAGCTCCGAGCATTGTGAAACTGGATTTAGGTGTGGGCATTATAAAGCTACGGTGAGTGTTGAACTTTTCATGTTTTATTTTCACAGCATAAGTTTGATTATTTGCAGTGTGTTTTAAACTCATCTCGGATTGGCTTAGTTTGGTTTTTATTTTTAAACACCGATCATATTTTGTTTCTTGCAAATAATGAGTTTATTTTCCAATTAAGCTCTATTATGTCTATGTTTTTGAAATTTTACATTTAAAAGCAATGAAGAAAGAATATTAATATAAAACTAATTTCTTAACTCGTTGTTTTGGGTGGGCAGTTGTATATTTTTTGCAAAGGCCATCAAACCTTAAGATAAATGGTATTTGGTTGAATTAATTGGGTTAAGAGCCTAGAGATTTCTTCTTAATTACTGAAACAACTATTTACTAGTCTCTGAAATTCACTCATATTTATTTGACCAAGGTTTGGTTTTTATTTTTTCAAACACGGATCATACTTCGTTTCTTGGGTTTGGTTACAAATCATGAGTTTATTCTAGTTGGGCTTGAAGTCTTCCTTTTTTTAAATTTTACATTTAAAAGCAATAGTGAAAGAATAATGGTAGTTATGCTTGGTCTCTACCAACTTTTTCCAAAGCCCATCAAATCTTAAGATAAATGGTAGTTGATTGAATTCTTTAAGTTAGTATAAAGATCCCGAGAACCTCCTTCCAAAAAACCTTACAACTCTTTAGTAGTCTCGTAAATTTACTCGTATTTACTCAAAAATCTAGATGGCAAAGCATCTGGAGAATCACATATCCAATTTTATATAAAAGTTTGTTAAGTTTATTGTCTAAGTTATTTTAAGTGCGTAAGTTTGATTGCTTTGCAGTGCGTTTAAAATTATTTAACATTATGTTTGGCTTTATATAGGTCGCAGACGCGTACGGTGAAGCTTCGAGCATTGTGAAACTGGATTTAGGAGTGGGCATTATAAAGCTACGGTGAGTGTTGAACTTTTCATGTTTTATTTTCACAGCATAAGTTTGATTATTTGCAGTGTGTTTTAAACTCATCTCGGATTGGCTTAGTTTGGTTTTTATTTTTAAACACCGATCATATTTTGTTTCTTGCAAATAATGAGTTTATTTTCCAGTTAAGCTCTATTATGTCTATGTTTTTGAAATTTTACATTTAAAAGCAAAGAAGAAAGAATATTAATATAAAACTAATTTCTTAACTCGTTGTTTTATGTGGGCAGTTGTATATTTTTTGCAAAGGCCATCAAACCTTAAGATAAATGGTATTTGGTTGAATTAATTGGGTTAAGAGCCTAGAGATGTTTTCTTAAT